CGGACTGAGTGTTCAATACAGGAAGCAAAAGATACCTGACCTCGATGCTATAACTCTAGAGGAAAAACCCCCATTAAATAAAGGAAGATACCAAATATCTAGGCCTCATAATTGATAGGAAACTAAATTGGGGGCCTAATATTGCTGATAGAGTGCGTAAATCAAATGCTTTTGCAGCAGGTCAATAGAAAAAAGATGGGGGAATGGAACCCAGGACAATACACTGGCTATACACAGCGGTAGTTAAGCCAATTCTTTATCACGGCATAGTGGTTATGGTGGGTCAATTATGGCCATGGTAGAATATTAACGGCGAACTACGCCCTTCCGAATCCTGCTCGAGTTACAGCGTTTAAGACCCTGCTACCCTCAAGGGAAGAGTGGAAGCGAGACGCTCTAAGAGTGGCGAGTCCATCGATGTATGTTTTCCCTTAGCTTTCGTCTTCCGGACCGCTGTAGCGTTTTCAGGCGGTACCGATTGCAATCGACAGAGCCACAAAACTGATATAGTTTGATATGATACGCCAAGTTGATATCTACATACATACATCTTCACTCACAGCCGCCTAGCAATCAAATGCCTCACGAAGCAGTCGATAATCTTAATTGTAGCCAATAAATGTCGCACATCTCTGAGAGGGTTAAGGCGTTTCGCCGAAAAGTGATATGGGTTCCGGGACACTGCGACATAGATTTTGGCCTTAACCAAAATTAAATAAAAGTGTCATTATTTTGAACCTATGGCAGTTCGTAAAAACGTTGATGGAGATTTTTCAAGCGCTCGGTTTTCCATTGTCTAAAGTCATTTATTTAAAAAAAAATTAAGAGCCTTATTCTGTATCACGAACGATAGGCAACACGAACGATTCGTCTGCAGAGGAAAGCTTCAAAAATTAGTCCGGCGGCATCATTCTAGCCGGATTAAACGCAACCGAGACCATTGCAACGTAATATATGGACAGCAAGACGAAGACGACCGATAGAGTAATAAAATCGAAATCAGAGAAGTGGTCGTCTGCAGACGAATCGTTCGTGTTGCCTGTCGTCGTGATACAGAATAAAGCTGTAAGTTATCATAAATACTTCGAAAGTGTCCAGTTCACGAATAATTATATGTTGGCCGAAGTAATTTAAAAAAAAAGAAGTCAAAGTCAATGGCTGACTCAAATACACTTTCATGATACCTTGAACACAAAAATTGATGCAGATATGCATTAGTTTTCCAAGCGTCCATGAAACATGCATTAAAAACTTCGTTTAGTTAAGCGGATTCCCAGCTAAAAATTGTATGAACAAAAACGCGATTTTAGAAATGTAGATTTTCAACGCGCTCCACTTGACGAATTGAGATACATTTTTTTTTGTTGGAAGTCATCAGAAAATCAAAAATTTAAGTTTTTTTGCTAGCTTTTGTTTTCGTCTTACTTGAAGATCAAGGCGAATCAATATAAGTACAAAAACAAAAATATACATGTATTTTGTTTTTGCTTTGGCGGCATAAACTGTCCAAATCTGTAAGAGTGTGTGTAGAAATTCAAATAAAATTTTTCAATTTGATATGAGAAGCCGTGCGGTGAAACACATACACAAAATCAGCTGAGCTTATATAAATTCGCCTTGTTGAAGACCTTCTGGAATAGTAGTTTCCAAAAATCAGGTCTTATTGAAAAAATCCTGCCCGAAGGCGTTCTTCATCAGCAGTGCATGGTCTAATTTTCAAATTCATAAATATTTTATTTTGCAATAAAAACAAGTAAGCAAGTGTCGTTTCAATCAAATGTGGCGTAATAAAATATTACTCATCCGCCATGTCGGCACTTTCGTCTGGTTAAATAACTCAATACGTCCCACTAATATTGTAAGGACCACTTGTTCAATGTCTGGTTATCACAAACCGGAGGTAAAAGCTCCGGCTAAATACAGTGACTCGATCACATATATGTATATCACATATATGTATATTGTATGAATGTTGTCGCAAGCGTCGGTAACAGATATTGAACAAACGGTACTGAATGTGAATGTTAATATGTTTTTGTTTGGCTGTCTTCTTCTTCTTCTTCTGATTTGGCACTGTAACCGCCTAAGGTCGAGGCCACGCACTGAGCGGCATTTCTGAGCGGCTGAGCGACATTTGTGTATGGCGCCGCTCAGGCGCTCCCCGCTTTGCCGCTCATTGCATGGCCTCTTCCTTAGGCCGCTTAGCAGTAAGCGGCGTAAAATTAAAACATGTGAAATACTATTGAAGTGGCCATGCTCTGGTATAAAAGCCGTTCATTGCGTGACCTCGGCCTAAGCGAATTTCGCCTAGTTCAACAAATCTCGCCAGTGTTTTCGCTTCTGTGCCAACTGACGTCAATCGCAAATGCCAAGTGAAACCAAGCCCTTCTCCACTTGGTCTTTCCATCACAGAGGAGGCCTCTCTCTTCCTCTACTACCACCAGCGGGTTCCGAGTTAAATTCTTTCAGAGCTGGAGCGTCGGAGTCCATTCGAACGACATGGCCAAGCCAACAGAGCTGCTGTAATTTAATTCGCTGCACTATGTCTAGGTAGTTGTAAAACTCATACAGCTCATTATTCCATCGTCTACGGTACTCGCCGTGGCCAACGCGTAAAGGCACGTAAATCTTCCGCAAAATCTTTCTTTTGAATGCGCCAAGAGCCACCTATGATTCTGCGCCATACATCATCACGGGCATGATGAGTGACTTATAGAGTTCGGTTTTCGTACGTCGAGAGACGACTTTACTCCTGATTTGCCTACTCAGTCGAAAGTAGAACTTGTTGGCAAGAGTGACGCTACGTTGAATTTCGATGCTGACATTATTATCTGCGTTCACGTTGGTTCCCAAGTAAACGAAATTCTCCACCTTCTCGAAATTATAACTGTCAACAATGACATGGGTGCCAAGGCGCAAATGCGCTGACTGTTTGTTTAATGACAGGAAATACTTCGTTTAATCCGCGTTGACCACCAGACCCATACGCTTTGCTTCCTTATCCAACTGACTGCTCATTCCTGGGTTCTTCTTCATAAAACACGCTTCCAATGTCGCGCTTGCAAAGCGTTGAGAAGCGTTTCCTGCATACAGGAAGCAGCTGTAGTATTGAAACAATTTAAATTTTTTGGTCGGTTTTAAGCCCGCTTTGGATAGCGCAAGGAGAAGCTGCCTGTAGGACTCCAGCCGGTTTGAACCAAGGACGTCAGCGCAGAATTTTTCAAGTTAGAAAAAAAAAGCAGAAGAGGTTAGTCTAGCGGTGAACGAGGACAAGACGAAGAATAGAATAACGGGTACATTTGGCATTAAAAGCCAAGAGACTGATTCTTTGTATTTTGACGTTTTGGATTACACTCCGCTCTTGCCTACAGATGCTGTTTTGGACTGAGTAGGCAATGGAAAATCAGAGCCATATCTCTTGTAATACTTTTCCCTTTTTTATATGCCGCATAAACGTGGACGACATCGTACAAAGTTAAGATGGCTTTGGGACTTTCGGAAGGTTTATTCTACGCAAAATCTGCTGCACTGTTCGCGTGGGCTACGGGTACCGAAGAAGACGCTCCGGTGGATAGATCCGCGGCACCCGTGAATGAGCAACGAAAGTAAGGCGCGCCACAAACAAAATAAAAGGACCAAGTGCAGAAGAACCTGTCTGCACTTGGAATGAACAGCGGGTGGTTACTTGCAAAGGGGAGTGGCAATTGGCGAAGTTTTTTTAGGCCCGGCAAAAACCGACTAGCGGTTGTAGTGACAAATATGAAGATTAGAATACGATGGTACCTCGAGACGAGACTACTAATAATAAAATATAAGGTCCTATCGGCACATCTCTACGGGTGACTGAGGTCCATTGGTCGGGCCTTGATTGTACATTTGTGGTTGCGAAGCTACAAATCTACCATAAACCAAATTTGTATAGGGGGCCAAAGTATGGAATTGCAAACGTAAAAAAAAAAACTTCATAAATGCTCAATTTTACCCAGACAATGGGTACCGAAGAAGAGGAATGATTAACTGTACTTGCTGTCTAATTTTGTATATGATTAAATGAACAAACGTATATGTAGTTAGATGCACAAAAATAAAACTATTGCACTGGCTTGCACAGGTCATGGGTAGAGACATTCTAAAAACAAGGACAGAAATTATCTAAGTTCTTCATTCCGTCATTTAATTCAGAGGAAAACACTTTGACTAACCAAACATGTCGTCCTTAAAAAGTAGAAACAAGAAGGGCAAATAAAATTGTGGAGTCATTTAGAAAGCGAAAAATGTTTGCCAAGTGAAACAATTACACATTTAGAAAACTCATTAACGAGCAGGCAATTAGCATAAAATCAATCAACAGGTGGGCATTTATTATGGACTAGTAATTTATGAGAAAAAATCTTCAAAATACGAACACCTATACATATGAACATTGCGTATAGATCAGATGTTTCGCAAATACAAAACATTTGTATGTATGTAAATCCAATGACCAATTTCAAAATTGTTTACGAAGCTGATGGAAAAACGCATGCAGATCAAGGAGAGAGAGAGAGAGCGAGAGAGAGAAAGATAGGCTCCGCTTAATCAATAAGAGAACAATTTATGCGCAACGGCATATTTTGGGAGGATTGCGCATGTTTTTTCACATGAAAACATAAATACAGGAAATGGTAGAAAAATAAAAACAATGAGAAAGTAGCTGAATTAAATTGAGAAGAAAAAAAACGCAATTTCTAATTCACACGAGAAACGTGCTCTTTTTTAGAATCGTTGCTGAATGTCTCTCGTTTTCATTTTATTTTTGTTTTTAGTTTTCACTCCCTCGTAACCTATTTTTGTCAGCTCATCCCGAAACGTCTTGAAACGCATTTTAAAATTTAAGCAAGAAGAAGAAAACACAATGGAATTGAAAAATGGATTAATATGCAATATATGTATGTATGTATATTAATATGTATTGTAATGGCATGCTTATTCATTACTGGCGCCAATGTATAGATACTTACCAGAAATGTGGAGCTGTGTTGGCGGTGATGATGCTGTTCTTGCTCGTGACGACACCAATAGAAATGCTTTTAGGTATCTCTCAAATTGCGTCAATTGTGCTGATGTTTTATAGATCCGGGTACTACGTTACGGTAAAATTTTTATTTTCCTTATTTAGCAAATGGTATTCCGAAAATTTTTTTTAATAAAATCCTGTTTAGAAGTTTCTAGAGCACGGAACTGGCTTACAAATAAAAAATTATTAATTTATATATTAAAAAAAAAAAAAATTTTTTAAATTGCCAAAACTGAAAGCAAGTAAGCCAAACCAACACGAATGTGTTTCCTATAAAAAAAAAAAAAAAATTATTCAATAAACGTTTTTGATTCATAAAGTTTCTTATAGGATAGATATAAATTTTTTTACAAAAACGTTTTTCTCTAAAATTTGTTATAGAAATATCTTTTTTCAATCAAATTTTTCATTATGTAATTTTTTTTTAATGTAGGAAAATTTCTTACAGACGAAGAGTTTTTATAAGGTCTTAATTTTTAAGAACCTTTAATAGAAAACAAAAATTTCGGAATTTTTTTTTTAAATCTAAAAAAATAGATGTCTTAAATTTTTTTTTTATTAATAACACAAATTGGAAATGTGTTCGGAAATAACTTTTTTTGGAAATTTTTTCTAGAAAATCTTTTTTTTTTTTTTAATTGGAAGTTATGTACATATAGAAAGAAAAAAATGCTAATTAAAAAATAATAATTTTTTAAAGAAATTGTAATGCAATTTTTTTTTTTGAAGCAAAATTTCTAATGCATATTATTGCCTGGATAAAAGATTATCGTATTTTACTTGCGGCAGATATTGGGAAAACGTGACTGAAGTTTGGAATGCAAAGTCTCGGAAAATGTTACTAGTTCACATAATTCTTACATTTTTTTATTCACAAATTTTTTATTTTTATTGTTTATTGTTAACCAGTGTTGCCAGAACAGAGTTTAACCACCTAGATTTAGAGACTTTTGACTGCCCAGGGGTAAATTTAAGGGGACCAAATATTGCGGAGAAAGCTTTAGCCAAATGACAAATAACAACTCGAGTTAGTTAAAAGTGTCAGCAAAATGAAAAATGTAATCCCTTTGAAATGTGTGCTCAATAAAAATAAAAATACATATTCTACAATTGACATTGAAAAAATAAAATTACAATAAATTCCAAATAAATAAAATCAGCGGTACGAATGGGAAATCTAGGGCAAAATATCATGCCCTTGGGGGTAAACTACTGCAATAACTTGGAAACACTGTTGTTAATTATTTTTTAGTTTATGAAGGATTTTCTTTAGCAAAATTTTTTCGTTTGCTACGTTTGTCAAAAATTTTGTATCCACTTTGTATGACGTGCGACAATATGTTAATTGCATTGTACTAAATTAACGATACTTTTCACTCAATACCTCGGAAACTAAAGGAGATATCCAAAATGGGTAACGCCGTTTGAAAGATCTTATTTTAATATATATTTTTGGAACGTTGATTAAAAAATATTTTCTGAAATATTTAATAGTGAACTTTTTTTACATCTTATTTGAAATTTTGAACAAAATTGGAAATTATTAATACAACGTTAAAACCAAAATACATATGTTTTTAATCTTTCCTGGATTCTTCTTTTGCAAGTTTTTTTTTAATTACATAATAATATTTTGTTATACTGGATATTTTTTTAGGAAAGTAATCAATTTTTTTTCGTTTTTAAGGTACGGAAAATATAGTAAGAGGATAGAGGTAAAAAAAACTCCAATTATATATTTTGGAAATGTTTAATAGAATAATAATCAAAGATTTTTGAGAAATTTTTTTTATTAAATTCTTTATAGGAAAATTTATTTAAAAAAAAAATTTTATACAAAAAATTATTTCATTTTGCTGGAATTGTTTTTAAAACAATTTCTTGATAAAATTTTGTATAGTGAAAATTTCGTGAAAACTTCATTTAAAATTAAATTTTTTTAATAAACAAAACTTCTTTTGGGGAAAATTGGTAACAGTGCAGTTACGGTCGCCTCCGAAAACTTATCCGAATTGGTCCGTTTCATTTAGGTGAACTTCGCTAGTATTAAATTCATATTAATAAATGCACTAAACGAACACGTTTTGACGTCCAGTTGTTCATTAGATGTAATTTACTTTACTGAATATACGTACGAATGTATTAATTTTAGATATATTTTTATAAATATAAATACATATAACAAAATTAATTCCCCAATAGTCGCACTCTTTAGTCACGCCTAATTTCTTTCCGCGTTGGCGGACCTCGGCCGAGCTTCAAACCAATAGTTCTGATCAGTCCAACTCCAGCTACGCTGCGCCAGTCTGTTTGCGTCCAACTTCTTTCCGGTTTGGAAATATGGTTCTTATTTTATTACCAAATTGCATAGAAAGAAATAAAATTCTTTGGATTAAAAGTAACGGCACCATTTTTGGCGCTTTTATTATTCTGTTTGGCACTTTTTGACAACCCTGGCGCTCAAATCCACCTCTCAACCAAAGAACTGACGTAGTAAGCAAAGTTTATTTGGGAACCAGTTAAAGTAATTTAGAGTGAACAATTCGAAGTCAATATATGCTCATTTAATCCATTTCTTAATTTGAATTTAATGCTAGCCTAGCAAAGTTTACCTATGTAAATGAAACCGTTGTTGACAGATAAATTTTGCGCGGTTTAAAAAAATTTCATTTCCGCCCGAATTCTTAATACTGGCAGCAATACGCGTCGATTGATATCCCATCCGACCATTTTAAAAATATTTTCGAAGGGTACCGTAAATTGCACCACTACCGAACACTTCTTTTTCTATATTTTTTTTTTCAAAAAATGTTTGGTTTGAAGGTACTTATTGAATTTATTTATGTATTTTTTAGTTTTATTTAAATTGTAAAACATTTTTTAGGTAATTTAAAATTTTACTTCGAAACAGGATTTTTTGCACTACTGTGTTACATATTTACATACATGTATATGTATGCGTGTGTATATTTTTGATGACTAGGGCATAGATTGAGTTCGTGATTGCGTTGTCGCTATTTCCCCAAGCTGCTGAAATTATTTAAAATACCCAACACGGTTTCTGTTACCTTTTTGGCGTTGGTGAACTTTTTTGTTGTTATTTTATTTTTATTTTACTTGTAATTTCTTTTTCTGCCATGCCAATACTTATGTATTTATATTGGCGTTGTTGTTAAATCAGCTGCCACTTTGGCTGTTGCATATTCTAAAATATTTTCTGTTGCTTGTTAACGACAGTGTTGCTTATGTAGTTGTTGTTTTTTTTTTTTATAGTAGTTTTTGTAATTTCCGATGCTGTTGCTGCTGCTACAAAGATATTGAAACTACGTTTTTCATTCATTCACAAAGAACATTTTTCTAATTGCGTAACACTTTTTTTCAGTGTACCTCAATTCACATACAATGCAAACAAACACAGAATATTTACTGTAGGGAATTCTCAAAATTCCATACAAAAATACTATTTCACCGTTTTTTACACTTTCTATAAACGCAAAAGCTGGGCAATTAATCTACGCGTGACGTGCACACATTTCTCAAATATTGCCAAGATGAATTACATACATATGTATGTGTGTAATACTTCGGAACTAAAATTTTTTCTTAAGATATTTAACTTTTTTTGTTTAATATACAGCAGCTTCATTTCTTAATCAAATTAAAAATCTCAACTTTTACTGCACCGTTTCCGAATTGAAATTTTAGTGCTTTATTGAATTGTTCACTTAAAACTGCCGTTGAAGTGAAAAAATTATTTAGCTGTGTTTTAAAAATAGCCGCATACTTTAAAAGTTTCTGGCGGAACAGACACAGCGCTCATCTCATCGCACATTGTAGATCACACACACGAACGAACGCTAGCCACATCGCGGCACCAATTAAATATTTCTATTTAAATTCAGTTTGCTTCATACTCCAGTTTAACTCTCAACTTTTCATAAATTTTTGAATTTTCTTTAACTAATTTTTCACTTGTTAATTAAAAAAAAAAAACTAAATATTTTTCGTTAAACTGCAGTAATTTCCTGCACAGTTTTGCTTGAAAAAATCTACAACTTTCAGCTCACTCATCCCAAAAAATTCTAAAATAACTGCCTCTATTCATCTCTTTCGCACCAATGGTGAACAGCACTTGCACACTCGCCGGACACGATTTGGATTCGAATCGTATAGGAATTGGAAAATCGTTGCGTTGCGAACTCGCGTACGTCCGTCGTAGAACTGAATGCTAGCGTTGCGAATTGATCTCGAAATACTCTCGGGAAAGTCAAAAAAAGTGGAAAAGCTGGGAAGCGAAAAAGCATTTTCACGTTTATTTTTCTCTCGCGCTTTGCAGCTGAATACGAGTTTACCTTTTTTTCCTTTTAATTACAAGGCACACGCGCCAGTATCGTCATACCAACTGGCAGTAAGAATTTAGCTATGACCAAATAATTTTATTGCCTTCTGTTAAACTTTATTTTCTTAAGTGCATTGATTCGCGCACATTCACGTTTTTATGAGTATGTATGTATGCCCTGCAGTGACTGCTTTTAACTCTTTAGTTTGGCACTAATATTTCCATATTTCATTTAACTTTTGTATAAGTAAAATAAATTCGACTTTTCAAACAGGTTGCTACTCTTTAAAAGTATTTTCAAACTCAAATCTTTCTTTTTCGTCTGGCATTGTGGTACATATTTCAAATAACTGCTTAAGTGCAATTTGATTTTTTTAACACTCTTATAAATACAGTTCAGAAATAAATTATTTTCAAACCCATTTCGATCGATATCCATCTTTTGACAATCCATTTAACTTATTAAATAATTTCAATTTCAATTTTCCAACGTTGGTAAATAAAATTCCGATATAAAGGGTCTTAAACCCGTTCGGATTGATAACCACCTTTCATTTAACTTATTAAATATTTTGAATCCATCGTTTTAAACTAGTGGCAAACTTCCTCAAAGACATCAAAGATATTCTAAATTGTCAAAGATTTCTTAGAACTCTATCATTTGACACCAATTTTTAATATTTCATATAATTTGGGCATAAATTATTACTTTAATTCGACTTTTCAAACAAGTGGTAACTCTCTTCAAAATATTTTCAAACTACTACCTTCTTAAACCTCTTTTATCTAATACCCATATGGTGATAACTTAATCACTTACCTAATTTCTTTAACGAAAATTGAATTACATGTTTTAAACATGTGGCAACCCTTCTACACGTATTTATGATATAAAGGCTTTTTTAAACCATTTCGGTACCAATTGATTTAACTTTTTAAATAATTTGAGCTTTATTTCTTAACATGTGGCAACTCTTTTCAAAAAATTGAAACCTTATTGCATCCAAGACCTTTATTTTGACACCTGATTTTTGAAATCGTACATATGTTGCGGATCTAATGGTATTGCTTAATAAATAATTGGAATGGATTTTGACTTCATTTTGAAAAATGGAACCACTGATCTGATGAGCTGGTTAAAAATTCCCTTCGCGTATTATAAATATATGTCAATTAAGATTTTAACAGTTAAGAAATACAAATTTAAGACATATTTACCTCGATGTCAGTACTGGTACTTATCGATGTGGAAGCATCCACATTAGGGCTGTGGGATTATTCGAACACTCGAGCAAGTTGGTTAATCAGTTATGTATTTGGTTAATCAATTACTCAAGTAATCAAGATTTTGATTACTCAAAGCGATGATTAATCGAGTTAATTACAGTATGATTACTCAAAAAAAATTAATTTTGATCCTTAAAAGAGTTTGCTTTTGAAGAGCTTTGTTGAAATAGGGCATTTGACTGCAAAGTTCGAAAGTCGATTAAAAAAAATCCGAACTAACATAAACAAACGCCGCGATACAGGTCTTCTAATTTAGCCTCTATTTTCACCCCTCACTCTCATAATCGACCTAACTTTTGCTAACCTAAATTTGTTCCACAGTGTAATTCAAGTCATGTCTTCCGGAACGACCATTTTGGAAAATATTGCACAAACCACTTTTCTTTTTTGCCTATAGCTCAATTGTCTGAAGCTGCTCAGGAGTCACGGAATGAGAACCACATACAAACATTTTCGTTTGCATCATGCCAGGAAAATTTCGAGAATATCTACTAACGAAGATAAGTTTCATGCATTCTGGCAAAGAATTCCATTGAGCGGGCGCAAAGTGGTTCCAAACCTAAAAGGAACGTATTTTAAAAAAGATGAAAAGTATTTTTTGATTTACTTCAGGATTTTTCCGTTTTTTTTCTGTTTTTTGTTGAATAATATGTAAATCGTTTTTTAATTTAGCGTTAATTCAATAAGCCCCCTTTCTTTCTTAGTAAATTTAGTTTGCTTCTCGAAGCATTGATCCATCATATGCAAGACCCAGTAATGACCGTTTGTGCTGCGGAGTTAGGTTAGGTTAGGTAAAAGGTTTCACATGCAAAAAGATTTTGACAATTTATATTTTTTGTGAGAAGAAATTAAAAGTATTAGGCATTTTAGAGACCGAATAATTTGAAAAAAATTAAAGCTGCTCTACTTTTACTAGCTGTTCAATGTGCCTTGAGTAGTACAAAACATTGCAAGGAAGTACACTTGACTGTACTTCGAAATACGAAGTTCAACGGCTCAAAAAGAAGTACGGTTGATCATTACGTATTAGTAACATTATTTTTTGCTCCTATTCAAAACTTGTTTATTTATCCATCGATTTTCATCGTCAGTAGCTTGAGTTTTTGGCAAAAGAACAGGCTTTAATACAAACACTGTTAGGCAGTCGGCTAGAGACTAGATGAAACCAAGTTTTTGTGAAGGTTTCGATTGTATATAGAAAAGTAATTTCTCAGTTTTCCTAGTTTGGCGATTTTAAGCGTTTTTTTTCAATTGAAGTTGGTGATCGCAAAGAAATAAAAATTGATTTAAATGAAAATCAAGCATCAGAAAGCATATGGAGGGGTTCTGGGGTCCGAGGAATCTGAATTTGCAACTTAGTTTTACCAAAAACTGCCGAAACTTGCGAAAAAGACCTGATATAGAAATACGAATATAGATTCGTAATATACGATTACAAGTTAAGTTTACGTGTTTTTCTCTGTCATTTCAAAACTTTAAATTTTCCCTACAGTGTAATTCATTCTTTTTAAGTAGTACAAAAAAGTTTTAATATTAAAAAAATACGTTAGTTTTGCATTTTCCCAAATAAATAAGAAACCTTTAAGTAGCAATATATATATATATTAAATTTTCTTTGCCTTTCATCGGAAAAAAAAGAACTTTTTCATATTTTTTCTTCAATTTTCAATCCGCCATTGTGTGTTTTAAATTTTTTCCACTAATTTAATGTATTTTTTTTTAGGTTTATTTCTTAAGAATTTCGATTTTCCTGCAGATTTATATTACAAGCAAATTCTTCGGTGAACTATAAAGAAGGAAACATTTAATTTGGCACGCATTTGAACGATGTTGAACGTTTGCGGGCAAGACACGAGCCAATCTCACACATATGCAATGCTTGACGTATTGTCTCCGTGGCGCTTAATGTTCTTGCAACCCTGCGTATCGTTTGACACTATTCATGAACTTGCAGGAAGAAAAACTTCGGACTAAAACCTGCACCTTCTGACTGAGAGAGAGAGCAAGTTACTCTCACAAAAGTGGTTTGACTTGTAGGTTTTTTGGCACCCGGAACGCTTTCCTGCAAAAAAAACTGCAAATCGTGAATATCGTGAGCATCTGGAAGCAACTTAAATAATACCTTGACTAAATTAAATGATGTCCATATCCCTCTACGTACTGTTCGGGCTATGAAAAGCTCATGTCCGTGGTACAGTAGCAAAGTCAGAACAGCTATATTAACTCTTAACAGGTTATACTCAAAATGGAAACGAACAAGACTGACTTTGCTTGGTCACAATACAAAATTTCTAGAAACAATGCTACTACAGTTATAAGATAAGCTAAGCGGTTATATTGTAGCTCCAAGTTGAACCCTTCACTGCCTTCCAAAGATATATGGCGCAATTTAAAACATCTTAACGTGCATGGAAAACTTAAGACTGAGTGTAATATCGATCCAAACGTGCTTAATGTCTATTTTAGTACGCTTTTAGCCTGTAGCTAAAAATTTAAATAGCCATTTTACACTAAAGGAAACATTTCAATTTAACGGAGTGACTGAGCTCTCACACATATCGTTAATCACTGCTTTACAACTTCGTGTTTTCCTACGGAATGGAAAAAAGCGGTTATTATTCCTGTCGCCAAAAAGAATATTGCCACAAAACCCAGTGATTATAGGCCAATAAGCATTTTGTCAGTATTTTCGAAAGTATGCGAGTCTATGATGGCAGCGCAAATTTCCTTCTTTCTCCGAGGAAACAACCTTTTATCCCCATTGCAATCAGGATTTAAACCCAAGCATAGCTATTCTACGGCTATGCTAAAAATACTGGACGACATAAGAACACAGTTTGACAACGGTGACTTAACCCTTCTTTGCCTCCTTGATTTTTCTAAGGCATTTGACTTAGTAAATCACGACCTGCTTTGTGCAAAGCTCAAATATTGCTTTGGTTTTTCTGAAAGTTCTGTTAAACTTATGACTAGCTGCCTCGTGGGAAGAACCCAAAAAGTAAAATGTAAAGATATCTCCTCCAAATTTTGTGTTGTCGATTCCGGTGTTCCGCAAGGATCTGTGCTTGGTCCCCTTTTGTTTAGTCTTTTTGTTAATGATGCATTCTATGTGTGTCAGTATGTCCATATTCATGCTTATGCTGACTACATTCAATTGCATTTGTCTAGCCGTGTTGGTCTTGTTGAGGATATGTGTTGTAAAATAAATAGTCACTTGTCTGCGATTTCGCAATGGGCGCGTGATAATTTTCTCTGCTTAAATGCTGCAAAGTCATATATGTTACCTGTTAGTAATAGTGAAGTAACGGGTGATTTTTTTGAGGTTAGGATTTTCATGCATTAGTATTTGACAGATCACGTGGGATTTCAGACATGGTGTCAAAGAGAAAGATGCTCAGTATGCTTTGACATTTCATCATGAATAGACTTACTAACGAGCAACGCTTGCAAATCATTGAATTTTATTACCAAAATCAGTGTTCGGTTCGAAATGTGTTTCGCAAACCCAATTGCTGCGAACGGCGACGAATCGACATTTCACGGTCTTCAGCAACACTCTCAGAAACAGACGCA